GTTTTCTGAGGAGATAAGTGATGTACGGCCAGGACGTGAAGTGGAGTTGTGACCACTTAGATACGGAAACTAGTCCGAGAGTGAGAGCTCCGTATTTTATGTCTGTTTGGATGGTCAATGGATTAAATTGATTAAGTAGCTTTGAGACTTGTGTCTGGTGTGTGTGTTAAGGCAGCAGATTGTGAGGTCAAGTAGATTAAAGGTCGACAATGACTTCTGGTGATCATTAAAGAAAGGAAGACGTGGAATGCGATATTGGTATAATTAGACCTTTAAATATTCCAAGAGTTGAAGATGTGTTGAATGGCCTTCTGAGTGTGAAATTGTTGTCGTACGTCGAATTCCGAGATCGCAGCTTTTTACGGAATCAATGTTTTTACGGACGAAAGTTGGAAAAGATTACGCCGTTGTGTCGGGTAATGTTAGGCCGTGACCGAGTATGCTTGTTTTATTGAATTTGATTGATTTTTGTAAGTTTTTGCATTTTTGGAGATTTGAGGGTTTAAGATTCAGATTGAAATTGAAAGTCGTAGAATTCACGTTTGATGGTTCTAAATCACTAATATATGTTTGTTACAAATGAGTATGTGGTTGTTTCAAAGAAAATGATTGAATCGGTCAAATTTTCGGGCAAAAATGCTCAAACCCGTAGCAGTCTTTATGCAGAAAAATTCTGTTCTAGAAAAACTTCAAAAATTCATAACTCTTGAACCGTATGTCAGTTTTGACCCCCGTTCGAAGCGTTGGAAAGCTAACGAGATGCTCCTTCTAGGAAAAATTGTTTTGAGGCCTATACCTGGTTCAATTATAGCAGAAAATTGAAAATATATCGTGTGCTGATTTTTGCCGAACCCGACAGGACCATTTGTTGTGTTTTGTGATGCCTTGTTGATATGATTGGGAGATATGCTAAGTGAAACTTCAGTGAGTTTTGGTTATGCTTTAAGGGAACTTGAAGTACATAAGAGGAATCATCTGACAAGTGATTTAGAGTTGGTTGTTGTTGTGGTTGTGCCGACGTTCGAAGCTTCAATTAGTTAGTTTGAGATTTGATATGTTTGGTGACCTCAAGAGCTTAAGGCATTGATTTGATTTGGAAGAGTTGAATATGAGGCAGAGAAAATAATTAGGACTCCGGAATGGATTATGGTTTCGGATTGAATTACCATTCAGGGAAATCAAAACGTGGTAGCTTACGCATTGACTTGGAAATCCTTGCATATGCCGATGATGGTGGTGAAAAGAGTTAGGACTGATTGAGCAATTTTGTGGTATGAGTTGGTTTGTAAAGAGACTTCTTATGGAGTTAAGCTTAGTATGTTGGACCTTACTAGGGGTATTCTTGACGAGATTCGATAAGGTCGGGACTCTGGTTTGAGTTGGTAGATTGGTTGAATCTGAGGAATTAAAGTCAAAGGGATGTTTTTCAGATTAATGGAAATGGTATCATGAGATGTCGTGATAGAGTTTGTGTTGTAGATATTATTGAATGGAATAAGAGTATTAAGGTAGATGGAGTATCCATCCCGGTGCTATGAAGATGTAACCGGATTTGAGGAAATTATTTTGAGGGCCATAGATGGAGAGAGAAGCGATTGAGTTTGTATATGCTGGTTAGACTTGTCATAAGTCGAAGAATAGACGTTAGAGACCGTTGGGTCTGATGGGAATCTGAGTTTTCATCGAGATTTTGGAAGAGTTTGCAGACGCTTGAGTACCATGTTGAGTTTGAACTCTGCCTATCATCCATGGACGGATGGACGGACAGAGAGAACTATCCAGTCTTTAGAGGATTTGTGGAGAGCTTGTGTGTTGGATCGTGGGATAGTTAATTATCGTTGATTGTGTTACCTACAATAACAATTACCATTCTAGTATCGGAATGGCGTTGTATGAGGCTTTGTATGATAGAAGGTGTAGGACTCCCTTGTGTTGGAATGAGTCGAGCGAGAGTGTTGTGCTCGAATTTGAGAATTGGAAAGCAGGATGCGGGGAGCGTATCCGGAATTGTTTCCATCAGGTGATTTTCGAGGACGAAAATACTTAAAGTGGGGGAGAGTTGTAACACCCCTTTTTAACTATTTAGTCTCCTTGGCGTTATTTTTTTATGCTGGTGTATCCTTACGGAGGTGTGTCTGAGTGGCGTTGGTGGATGCCCTTAGACTGTAAAAATTATTAATAACGATTGGAGTTTAATATTAATATACTATAATTAATAATTTGTGATAATTTAATAATTAATAGTAATGTTATTATTACTATTATTATTATTATTATTATTACTATTATTATTATTATTATTATTATTATTATTATTATTGGAGTAAATATAAAAGAGGGATTTTGGGAGAAAGAGGAAACACGTTAAAACTACTCAGAACCAAAATCAAAGGAAAAAGGAGATCGTGACCGAGAGAAGTTGAGAAGAGAAGAAGTAACCACCGGAGAAAATTCACGGTAGTTGCAGAAGAGTCGCCGGAGAGCTAACGGGAACTGGAAGCGTAGAGTTGACCTCAATTCCAAAGGTAAGGGTGGGGTTCAATTCTATAACCGTGGGTATAATCGATTTCATGTAGGGAATTGAATCATAGGATTAATGTTCCCGTAGTAACGTTCCCGTAGTAACGTTCCCGTAGTGATGTTACCGTAGTAATGTTCCCGTAGTAAATGTTCCCGTGGGTTGAGAAATATTAAGGGTTAATGTTTGTCTACGCCGAATTAGTGTTATGTCATTAGTTCTATGTAGTAATGTTGGGAATCGGCGCCGACACGCGCTAATTTCCCAGTTGTTGAGGAAAGATTATTATTATGCTCTTACTTGATCGACTTCAGGTAGGGAATTGAATCATAGGGTTAGTTCCCGAAGGTTGAAGAAATATTAAGGGTTAATGTTTACGCCTGAGAAATACTAAGGGTTAATGACTGTCTGTGTATGAATGAGTGTGTTATGTCATTAGTTTTGGGGGAAATTGAGAAACGGTGCCGACACGCGCTATTTTCCCATTTATTAAGAAGGTGTAGTTATTATGTCCCTATTTAATTAAATTAGAAGTCGTAGTTATATTACCCGTATGAAAGTATATGAAAATGTGTTGAGTTCTTATTTGTAGTAATGATGTTGTTAGTTGTTCTCTGACATGAAAATACTGTTGAGTTCTCAATTGTAGAGACGAGGTTGTTTTTAATTGTTTTCTGCGAAAATGTGTTGGATTCTTATTCGTAGGAACGATATTGTCACTTGTTCTCTGACATGAACAGGTTGAAGTGGTGAGTACATGATGTATGCAAAATGTGATGTTTCTGTTATGGATAATTGGTTGTAGGCTTGATGTCTTGTTGCACGGTTGTTGCACAGTTGTTGTTGTTGTGTTATAGTCCATAATAGTTGCATCCCATAGCATATCATAATTGTTGGCATGTATTGGCGGCCCTTAGTGGCAAATTGTTGGCCTGTATTGGCGGCCCTTAGTGGCAAATTGTTGGCCTGTATTGGCGGCCGTAAAGGCAATCTGGTACCACATGCATATGCACAGTTGAGTCGCATTGTTGAGTCGCATTGTTGAGTTGCGTTGTTGAGTTGTTTTGATGAGTTGCTGAGATATGATGATAATTGTTGTGGTTATGAATAAAGAGTTGTTGTAGTTTATTATTACTAATATTTATGCGAACTGCTGGAATTATAATGCTGAGATAATATTCTGACATGACTTCTATCATGCCTTATATTATATTGTTGATATCTCACCCCTTTACGTTGTATGTTACCTCCGTTGGTGGTAAATTGCAGGTAACTCGGAAGAAAGTATCGCTTTATGTTTAAGGTTGTTGGTCGCTCTGATACGTAGCACTCTGGGGGGGGGGGGGGGGATGAGCGATTAATGTTATTGTTTTAATTGAATTCCTTGTTGCTGAATTTTATTAAGTATTATGGCAAATAGATTGGTTGTTTCTGATAATGCCAAATGTTGCTTAGATGCATAGTTGTTTTAGTGAATTGATGCAAGATAATTACTTGCTGAATTTTAATGGAATTTAATTATTACGAATCGTTGGAAGTATATTATAACATGTCGTTTCATGATTAAAATATTAAACAAATTATCGTTGTTTGTTCATCTGAATTTTGTGCTACGTATGTTAGTAAATGATCTGTTGCAGGTGTATGTGTTTTGGTTAAGTGTTGAAATGTGACACCTCTGATGCGTATGAGAATTTGGGAGTGTGACGGTCGTCACAGCTCCTTGACGCTCGTCATGACCATGACGGTCGTGACATCCATGACGGTCGTCATGAGACTTTATTTGCTGCACTCTGAATTGTTTCCATTGTTTGTCTTATTTTTCCGCGATAGTTTAGAGTGGGGTGTTACAATCACCTTGTCAAACCTTGAGGAGTCAAGAGAATGAATACAAGAAGGCCTTAAAGACAACAAGAAAGACTCACGACTCAAAGCAATTTGTCCCAATGCTTCAGAAGCCTCTTTCCTGGTTTTCCAGTCAGTATCTTTTAAGGCCTCCCTAATACCAGCAACAACAGTAGCCAAAACACTTTATGTAGAAGCTCCCCCAGCCTGAATGATACTCCTATTCAACTCAATGAGTGCAGGTTTAGCCATAAAAATATGGATTTTTAAGCAACTTAAGAATCCTAACCAACATTTTATGCAAAATCGAAATAGGAGGACTATGCGTGTTGTGAATAACAGTAGCAAGACAAAAAGCAGAAGCAGACTGAACATGCTTATTCTGCTCACCAACCAGCGCTTCGAAAATTGGACTAGCCAATAACACAAACACCTTATCTTCATTATTTTGATTACCAAATTTAGAAGCTACTACCACAACCATTTCAACACAGGCTTCTCTGACCGAAGAATCTGAAACCCTTAAGCATTTAACAACTGTGGCAACCATTTTGGAAAGATGTGGAAGGACTAGAGCTTCGTAAACCTCCACCATTGTTCCCATGAGTTTGATACATTGTTTACAGATAGATGTTTTCTATTCGGAGTGAATTTCGAGTATGCACGAGAGGAGCGGGGATATAGATTGAGGAGTTAAAGAGTTGAGGATCGCGCGAAGCTGATTGGTTTCGATTTGATGCGTATCGCGATCTCCGACTTTGTTTATTACGGTGAGTACTCTTTGTTTCATATCAAAATTACTCATTCCTTGTTGCTGTGAATGTGATTGTTGTGACATCAACTTGTTCTTCATCTTCTTAATTAGTAAAATTGAATTTGTGTATTATATCATCTTATAGAGCTGGTTTAATTTCTAACAACATTATGCTGAAATCTGAAGGTTGAAGATGGGTAGAGGGTTTGTGGCATGGTTCGTTTGATTCTCGCCTCCCTTACCCTATTCTATTTCTAGTAATATATTATAATAAGAGATCTTAATAATAGCGTTTTTTAATAAAGTGCTATTAAAATTACATTGTCTACGCTTTATAATAGCGCCCGACCATAAAGTGAAATTATAGATATGTTTTTTTCTTTTTTAATAACACTTTTTTCTAAAAGTGCTATTATAAATATGTTTATTTCCTTTTTAATAATAGCGTTTTTTAATAAAGTGCTATCAAAATCACATTGTCTACACTCTATAATAGCGCCCGACCATAAAGTGCTATTATAGATATGTTTGTTTCTTTTTTAATAGCACTTTTTTTAAAAGCGCTATTATAAATATGTTTGTTTCCTTTTTAATAATAGCGTTTTTTAATAAAGTGCTATCAAAATCACATTGTCTACACTCTATAATAGCGCCCGACCATAAAGTGCTATTATAGATATGTTTATTTCTTTTTTAATAGCATTTTTTTTAAAAGCGCTATTAAATTATGTGCTACAAAATATAAATTTAAAAGCACTTTTTTTAATAGCACTTTTTAATCATAAAACTCAGAGTCATCAAAAATCATGATTAATTTGTTGTCATTTAATGTCCTCAAAGCTAAGTAGTCAAAAAACATTGTTGGTTACTAAAACCAATATCAGGTGATGATGAAGTTACTGCTACTTCTTTGTCATTTTGTTAGTGCTACTGATCATATGAAAATAAGTATGATCATTTTGTTAGTGAGCTAGCTAGCTATGAAGCTTGATTGTGAATTTCCTATATATGAATCATAATAGGAAGTTTCACCGGAGATCCCGATGGTAACCACTTTATCACGGAAGATAGAAATGCAACTGTGCACAATGGCATTGGCCGAAATGAAAAATATTGCACCAAGCTGCGTCTAAATTGAATCAGGCATCATTGTTGTAGTCGACATGAACAGTTGCGTCTATTTATAGATTACAGTGTTAGCATCAATTTAAAATCACAAAAATATTTTAGTTCCTGCATGATTTTGGTTCAAAAGAACTATGGATTTAGTATAATTTTATGAAACTAACATGCCGCTGAAAAGTATCTATTGTTGTAAAAGTTATGGAAAAATGCTACTAAAGTAATTAACTACTCACCAATTTTATGGATCAAGCAATGCTAATGTATATGTAATATCATTCATGGAAGTATCTTACTTGGAATTACATGGTTTTAACTGTATTTGACTGCCTACCACAGGTTTATTAAAAATATTTATATTCAACATGAAAGTGATTCATGTCATTCATGTCATTTTAGCTTAGAATGTCAATGAAGTAACGTGGATGGTGTTTCTTTGATGTTGTTTTCTGTTTAACTCAACAACTATAGATTTAGCATTATTTTTCTCAAAAACTAATATGTTGCTGAAAATTCTATGTGTTATTGTAAAGTGATTCAATGTTAAAAGACATGAAGATAATTTTATCTAAGACTATGCTTATTATTTTAGATGTATGATGGAGTATTCTTTTAGTTAATCAACCGTTATAATGTGGAGCATTTTTCAATTACATTTTTACTTTGTTTTCAAGATATCACCATTACTTGATTCAACATAATTGAGACAACAACCACAAATAAATGTTATATGAATTGTGTCATTTGAAAACATTGTTGACCTCTTATTTAGTATTAGCTATACTTTCTAGAATCATCCATTTTCTTTTCACATATTTCAATTTTCAAGGTTAATATTTAATATAACTAATGGATCAAGATGTATTAGGTTTTTATTATCATATACGATCTAATAGACTTCTAAAAAAAATATTTGTTTTACTTCAAATTAAATTGTAGTTTTAAAACTACATTTCATTATAATATTAAATTGCAAAAATAACATTTACCCGTGCGGATATCTTGTATGTTACTCTATTGCTCTAAAAAATGAATCATGTATAAATATTACTTTAAAAAATTAAAAGTCTAAAATCTTGATTATGTATTTCAACCTTTTCACTATAATGTTTAAAATGTGATTGAAATACTTCATAAAGTTACACTAGATACCATCAGTTAGATTCAAATAAATAAAAACCTGCATAAATATTACTCTTAATATGCATTTGAATATACTTTTTCTTGTGAAATTTGAATTCGATAAGATTATACTTTTTCTCATACCCGTGCAGACGCACGGGTCTTCTACTAGTGTGTGTCTGTGTGTGTGTATATATATATATATATATATATATATATATATATATATATATATATATATATATATATATATATATATATATATATATATATATATATATATATATATATATATATATATATATATATATATATATATATATATATATATATATATATATATATATATATATATATATATATATATATATATATATATATATATATATATATATATATATATATATATATATATATATATATATATATATATATATATATATATATATATATATATATATATATATATATATATATATATATATATATATATATATATATATATATATATATATATATATATATATATATAGGGTTTGCTAAAGTAGACCCACTTGTTTTTATAAAGATTTATTTTAGCAAAGTTTAACTAAAAAAAATTTAAATGCACCTTAAGGTGCATATTACTAAAACACACCATCATCAAAATGTGTTTTAGCAAAGTTTAACTAAAAAATAGTTAAATGCGCTCTAAGGTGCATGTTGTTAAAATATCCCTTCATAAAAATAAGTGGATTTAGCATAACAAACTTATATATATATATATATATATATATATATATATATATATATATATATATATATATATATATATATATATATATATATATATATATATATATATATATATATGTGTATATATATATATATAATTTTAAAAGGATATTTGATTGAATTAAAGAGAATATATTTAAGAAAAATATCATTATAAAAGAGAGTCTCGGTTAAACATTGTCAAAAAATAATTAACTTACTAAATAGTAATTAAAAGCGTTAGGGTTCCGCTAAGGTTCCGATGACTGGAACTAAAAGGGGCGTTGGTCGGCTAAAAAAGCAAGCGGCGGCGCGCCAGAAGACGACAGAAAGAACAATCATAACACAGGTTATTGTTGAACAAGAGAATCTTGAAGACATAACTAACGACGGAGAAGACGATAACAATGAACATTCCTCATCTGGTGTGTCGATTGTAACTGCAAAATATAAACGATCTAATGAGGCAGGGAAATCTAATGAGCCAGAGACACATGAGAAGCTGAATGCAAGACCTTAGGTGGAAGTCATTAAAGGTAACAGAAATGCATATCAAGGTATGATGATCGACTTTGTCGCCCCAACAATAGTTAACGAGGACGTAGAAATCACTATTGATGAATCAAATGTCCCCGAGGAATTGGAATAATGGGATAATGCTTTGATTCTCTTTGCCCTAGGGAATACACCATCAATGAATGTCGTGAAATGGTTCATGGAAAATACTTGGAACTTTGTCTCTCTACCAGAGCTGTATTACAATGATATTGGCTACTTCATTGTCAGATTCAAGAACAATTAAGAAAAGGAACAAATCATGGCCCACTGACCATACTTCATCTATGGTAAACCACTCTTTCTACGACACTGGTCACCTGATTTAGAGATCAAAGAAGATTTGCTCAAAATTATTCCAATTTAGGTTACACTACCAAACTTGCCTCTACACCCATAGGGAGAAAGAAGCATATCAAAAATCATTAGTTCCATATGTAAGTTGATCACAACCGATGAATGTACGACTAAGAAACTGAGAATTTCATACGCTGTGTTTTAATTGAAGTAGACATCACACGAAAACTAAGAGAAAAAATTTGGAACTATTATTGGAGCAAAGAATTGATTACGAATGGAAACCTAAATAATGTTAATCTTGTTCGAAAATAGGACATGACTGCCTTGTACAAAAGAAGCAAAAACCTACGATTTCGAAGGTGTGGAAACTTGTGAGTACAAAACCAATAGTGGAAATAAACCATGAAAATCAGGGTGCAAAACAAATGGAGAACCATGAAACTTAGGGTGAAAAACTAATAGAGGAGGAAAATGCTAACTGAAAATGTAGTTAGCACACATGATGAAAGTTGGACAATGGTCACATCAAGTAAAGCAGTATGGGGAAACAACAAGTGACTGGATCACCAAAAATCACCCCTTCCAAGTGTTATCAGGATAGTTTTACTCCCCTTAGGATAGGAGAATGTCCAACAGGGGAGATGTTGCGGTATGGGCCCAACCTCGGCAGGCCCAATACAGCGTACGACCCAACAAGCGAATCGGGCACGCCATGCACGTGCTCCCCACGAGACGAGCAGGGCTAGCCGCCGAACACAAGCGGCGTCTCCACAACCTTTTGTCGTCCACCACACCGGACGGGCAGAACCGTCCCCGGCTCACCAAAGCGCGGCCCTTGGCTCCTCTCGTCCGCGGGGAGAATAACGCGCTCCGGGGAACCTCCCGGGCTCCCCTCCGTGGGGAGAATAACGTGCTCGGCGCACGTTCTCCACGTGCTCCCCTCCGCGGGGACACGTCACCGACCAGCTGCCCATCTCCGAAAGAGCAGGTCAAACCCACTTTCCGGAGATCCAGGAGCGGTTGAATTAGGGCGAAGACCACGTCCTGGTCTTCACTACGCCATGTAAGCCCTAGCAGTCATTTGAATTGGGCCTGGTCATCCAGCCCCCCTCAAATGACCGTTGGCCCAGCGCTGGGGTCTCTCTATAAATACCCTCTTCCTCAAGAGGGTCAGGTAACTCTTCTTGCCCCCTTTTTTCTGTACTATTGCTTCCACTCTGCCCTACTTCTTACTTTGGCATCGGAGT